GAGAGAGAGAGAGAGAGACGGACGGAAAGATAAATAGATAAATAGACAGATAGATATGTATATACAACTATATATCTCACGTGTATTATAAGAGAGCTGCGGGAAACGTTGTCCTCCTCCTTGAGCACAGAGACGCTGCCCCTCGGGGACTCGTAGTTCACCACCTGCGGCAGAGAGACAATGAACTCGGTGGCAGCTTTTAGCCTAAGTGTAAAATCTAAGAATTTAAAAAATACTGACTGATAAAATAACATCCAAGGTTATGTCATAAAGAATAAGAACATTTCGAGCTCGCACAAGACAAGCTGAAAGCAGAAATGCAGATAACAAAACACACGACCTATCCCCAACGAAAACAAACAAGTAAACAAACCAAACAATTCATGAGCTGGACATCCTTCCTAACAAGTCATCCTATTTTCGTGTCTTGAAGGACCCCAGGCACGTGCAGAGTCCTCTCTCTCACCCAGATGAAGTAATGTATTCTATGAAGTTATGAAGCTCTCAGTACCTCCCGCTGGCTTCTGGGATTAGTTTGATAACGGTATTTGAAGTGAGTATAAGCGTCCACCCCATTCGCAAGCCCAACTCCTGTGCGAATCATGTCTCTATTGTCCTTCAAACTTGTTGTTTATCTCGAATTAGTTTGCACTTTGGGGACGTTCTCGAAATTCCGTTCCTTTCGCGTGAAGGAGGGAGGCAAAATGTACTAGGTCCCTCGTGTTTATGGCTTGCAACTCCGCGTATCCCATTTTATACTTCTTGTTTCTGTGTACTCTGGGGGCACCTGTCCGGTGTACCATTTTCATATGGATTCAGAGAAGTATGCTACAAATTTAGACTCTACGCTAGGATCTAGGAATTACATGTTGTAATAGCAAAACTGCAACATAACAAAATTTCCATATTAACTAGAAAAAATATATCAACCTTAAGGTACTCTAACGTAACCCATATCTTAACCCATTGCCGCCAGGGAAAATTAATAAAAATGGGGAAAAAGCTGTGCTCAATTTTTTTTGTGTGTGAAATATCTCTGCACATAGATGGCGCTGCTGGTGCTTAGCCACAAAGGAGTCAATTAGTAGATCTTGAGATCTTACCTGATTTCACCTTCCTTGAATTGGCGGGAAAAACGTATGTTTTACTAGTGCTATAAATATCGATAGTGTAATTTTTGTTAGAACATTATAATTACTATAATGTTATAAACATTTTGTAACAGCAAAATCAGACAACGTAAAATATTTTCATAAGTCAATGAAAAGGGTGGACGGGCGAGACAGGCAGTACTCATAACTGGCTCACTGGTGACTTAGTTCAAGTGTAGCCATCTATGTGCAAAACAATTAAAAAAGTAAACTCACAGTGGGCGTGACATGTACGCACATGCCATGGCCGTCGGCGTTTGGTTAATTATCATATATCTAAATTAATCAGAAAACATACAAAAATTCATAACACAAAGAAAGAGTAAAACCAAAGTCGGTTACATGAAAGAACGCAGCAACACAAGGCGCTTGCTTACCTGGTCGTTGTGATACCAGAAGATATATGACGGAGGCTCCGGGCTATGAGCTATGACACAGGTCAGATTGATGGTCGAACCCGTGTCAACGTGCATATCCGGCGACCCAATGATCTCTACTTTGGGAGCTGGGGTCAGGAGAGGTCACGGGAAGGGGTGAGGGAGGGTGAAGAGGGGAGAGAAAAATTAATGAGATCTGAAATGAGATTGCTAGATTTGCATCTGATAACTCGTAATTTGAATATGCTTGATAGTGTAAAATTAGGTGATATATAGATTTCATTTCCATACTGGGAAACAGATGTCAGTAGAAAAACCTTATTGTTATATATTTCAAATGCTTTAATGTGTTAATCTTGTTAATCTGTGTGCGTGTGCTTACACACACACACACACACACACACATATATATATATATATATATATATATGTGTGTGTGTGTGTGTGTGTGTGTGTGTGTGTGTGTGTGTGTGTGTGTGTGTGTGTATGTCGTTATACACACACACATACACACACACATACATACATACATATATATATATATATATATATATATATATATATATATATATATATATATCAACTCTCTCTCTCTCTCACACACACACACACACACACACACACACACACACACACACACACACACACACACACACACACACACACACACACACACACACACACACATACACACACACACACATATGGGTGTGTGTGTGTGTATGCTTATACATATATACACTCAGATGAGAGATCGACTTCCTGCGTCGTTCGTTCTCCAAACTGGGCTACCCTCGTCATATTCTCGTCGCGTTTTCCAGGGCACGGCGTACCTTCTACCACGACTCCTCTCCTAAAGAGACTCTTCATCTGCCCGTTCTCAGCCTGCCCTACGCTGAGGTGATCTACTCTCTCCACTGCCCTCTTTGCCCTCTCAACTCCAGGCTGAACTTTCGCCAGGTGAACACTCTC